AACTGAGGGTTCTAGAGGGGCGGGGAGTGGGGGGATGGGTTAGCCTGGTGATGGGTATTAAAGAGGGCACGTACTGCATGGAGCACTGGGTGTTATGCACAAACAATGAATCATGGAACACTACATCAAAAACTAGTGTTATAATGTATGGTGATTAACATAATAAAATAATTTTTTTTTTTAAAAGTACTGGCTTTTAAAAGGTCTTTAGTTACACTAAGGTAAAGTAGACAAGAGGCAAGTATTTATATTTTCCCATACATTGTTGTCCTTCAAGCTTCAGTTTCATTTTTATGGGACATAGAGAAGACCACAGATGGCCGTTATTATAACTGACATAGAATTTGTCTATTTTTTTATTCTCTTTTAATATGAATAAGTGCCATCTCCTATTAGGAGAGCCAGGAAGCAGTGTCAAAGCCTGGTTTTGCCATTTATATCTATGTGACCTTGTGTAAGTTACTTTTCTGTGCTCAGTCCCCTCATCTAGAAAATGGGATCATAATTGTATACATATCATTGGACTGTGATGAGGATTGAATTTGTTAATATTAAAAAAACTATTTGGGATAGGGCATGACCTATACAAAATATAAGGTATGTGTAATATACATTTGGTAAGAGGCAGGATATGTTGGGCTTTGTTGAAATCCCCAAACTCTACCTAACCGTACTTCTTTTACCATAGGTGGATCATCTCTCTTCGTGGATCTTTTAAGGTTGACTGGACCTTTTCCCCTTCCTGTTTGAAATTTCCTACTGCTATGAAGACTGTTTGCCATTCTCCAATCTTCTGAATGCTTGAATCCTTCTACATGGCCCTTGGGTAAAATCTTAAAATAAGATATAGGGAGTCTTTCACATTTGGCCTTCAGGAAAAACGAGTTCCCACCCCACCAGTGTCAGATACAGATGGGCCAAAACTTCCCTAAACTGGCATGTTTTCCTGTATTTGTGATCTTCTCCTTCCTAATTCCTTCATGCTCTCAAAACTCACAGATCCTGTCGTCCAGTAAACACTATTCCTGGAGAGTGAGGTGATCAACCTGGCAGGCAACCCCAAACTCATTTGGCTAATGTAACAAACTCCTGCCTTCATGCTATTAGAAAGCTCATTCCCCAAGAGACAACAATCTGGTGTTGGGAGTAGCAGACTTCATAGCAAGGAGATGTATTTCTGCATGGGCAGAAAATCTTCTTCATGGGCAGTCATTTATGTGATCCATACACCAGCCCCCTCTAAACAGACCTGCCTCATTTCCTTCTGCTAATCAGCGAAGGGAGAAGCCCCAGAAATATCATTTTCTGATTATCCCTGCTATGAACTCCCAAGGATTAGAACAGAAAAAGATAGGTATAATTTGGCCATAATCTAGATTTTCTTCATAGGAGATATTTGCTTCATGTAAAATACATCAACTTATTGGAGCACCTTAGTGGCTCAGTCAGTTGAGTATCTGACTCTTGATATCAACTCAGGTCTTGATCTCAGGGTTGTGGGTTTGGGCCCTGTGTTGGGCTCTGCACTGGACATGGAGTCTACTTAAAAACAAACAAACAAACAAAAAAACTATTTTTGAGTATTACCCAAAAGAAGCCAAGTCTCAAGGTGGAGTTTTGAGCAAGTGGTGGGTAAAAAAAGTAAATAGGCATGATATGTTGTGTGCAACATATTTTAGATTGTCAAGGTCATGTTTATTGTTTTTCATTTAAAAGTATGTATTTTATTAAAAACCATATAATTTTTAGGAAAATATGAATGAGTCTCTGTCCCTCTCAATTGATCAGGGTTACTACTCCTTTTGTGTGCATACTTCTAAAAAAAATGTTTGTTTTTTTTTTAAAGATTTTATCCATTTATTTGACAGAGAGAGAGACACAGCGAGAGAGGGAACACAAGCAGGGGGAGCGGGAGAGGAAGAAGCAGTCTTCCCACAGAGCAGGGAGCCTGATGCGGGGCTTGATCCCAGGACTCTGGGATCACAACCTGAGCCAGAGGCAGACACTTTAACAACTGCGCCACCCAGGTGCCCCTAAAAAAATTTTTTTAATGGCTTATTTTTTTTTTTAAGATTTTATTTATTTATGTGACAGAGAGAGAGGGAGAGAGCACAAACAGGGACAGTGACAGGCAGAGGGAAAGGGAAGTAGAAGCATACTTCCCGCTGAGCAGGGAGCCCAATGCAGGACCCAGGACCCTGAGATCATGACCTGAGCTGATGCAGACGTTCAACCCACTGAGACATCCAGGCTACCTGCATCCTAAATTTTGTAAAGTGTATGTACATATCTATTGTAGAACTATAAAGGAAATTATGTGTGTATTCTTTTATTCTTTTTTTTAAAGATTTTTATTTATTTGTCAGAGTGAGAGAGCACAGCAGGGGGAGCGGCAGGTGGAGGGATCCCAGGACCCTGGGATCATGACCTGAGCCGAAGACAGACGTTTAACCAACTGAGCCACCCAGGTGTCCCTATATGTGTTTTCTTTTGACACAAATGATCATACCATATATATTATTATTCATTTTATTTTTCCTTTTTTTGGTGTACTGTAGAAGTTTGTTCAGACAGTTCATATGGATTAACTCATTCTTAATAATGGCCTTGTAATGTAATTCTGGGTGTACCATAATGCAGTTAACCATTCCTCTATTAGTAGACATTTATTATTATTTACTTCCAATTTTTCTCTATGATAGATGATATCTATCTTTCTCTATGATAGCTAAAACTACCATCTCTCTATGTATATTTTTGCATACTCCTATCTATAGTTTAGTGTAACTCCCGGAATTGGAATTGTTGAGCAACAGCGGTGAATATTTCAACTTTTGGAAGATATGTCACATTGTGTTCCAAAAATGCCTTGCAAATTAATACTGTCACCATGGTCATTTTATTCTTACCTAAAATATTTAGAACCCTAATTGAAGGTCAATACATATATTGGACACTTATATGTGACTTTTAGATAAGAAGGACAAGACATAAATATTTAGCACTTTCTAACTTGTGGCTCACTCAGTGTTTATTTTTTCTCTTGGGTGTTCCTGGCTTGACTCCATGATGCCTCTACCTTGTCTTCAGTCAACCTGAATTGAAGCACTATTTTCTCAAAATGATAGGCCTCTTCTTCAGTTATTTGGCCTGGGCTTTTGGCATCAGCCTAGCCAGCAGCAGATCCTGGCGCGTGTGGGAGTTTAACAGCAACATTGTTCCCATTGTGTTCATTGGACTTTGGGAAGCTTTCTATTTTCAAAGATTTAACATCTCTGGCTCCATTGTTGAGTTGCCGATGCACAGCAGGATCAATGAGAGCTGGGTCATTTCGGATGAAATCTGTTATGGGCAGGATCTGATATTGTTAGCAAATTTTATGAAGTCAGTAGTCCTGATCTTTGGCTCAGTGGCACTTTTGGTCAGCCGGATCCATGCCCCATACCCAGATTTCCTTCAGCTGTGTTACGACATCTCTGCCTTCTTTCTTGTCTTCAGCAGTAGTTGTACTATGATTACGGTGAGCTGGAATTTCACTGCAGATTTTTATGGCCAAACCACCCTTGACTTCCCACTCAGCTTTCCCATTGGGAAAGAAATGCTAATAAGGAAACGCTTCTCCTACGTGTTCCCGCTAGGACTCATAACTGCCACCCTGTCGCTAATAAGTGCTGCCATGTTCTTCTGTGAAATATTTTCCATAAAACAGTGGAGTCAAGTGAAACCCATGGCTGTGGGCAAATGCCCAAAACGAAAGGTCTGAATGAAGGGCCTTCGTCAATAAAAATTTTTTTAAGAAACATCCTACCTACATATCATATTGTTGTAACCATCTACTCATTTAAAATAAAACATATTTGGTTTTTCAGGGTGTGTCTGCAGCTTTTATTGTCCTATTCTTCTGTTCTGCAAACATCTTCCTTTCTTTGAGGATTTCACTTCTTGAAATCTGTAGGCAAACATATTATGTGCATACACTGTCAAAAATCAGGGTGCCTAGGTGGCTAAGTTGACCCTGCTTTTAGCTAGGGTCATGATCACCAATTGGTGTCCTGGGATAGAGTCCCACGATGGGCTGCCCACTGAGCGGGGTCTGCTTCTCCCTCTGCCCCTTCCCCCACTTGTGCTTTGTCTTGCTCGCTCTTTCTTGAATATATAAATAAAATCTTTAAAAAAGAAATCAGGGGTGCCTAGGTGGCTCAGTTGGTTAGGCAGCTGCCTTTGGCTCAGGTTGGAATCAAGTCCTGCGTCAGGCTCTCTGCTCAGTGAGGAATCTGCTTTTCTCTCTGCCTGCTGCTTCCCCTGCTTGTGTTTTCTCTCTCTCTCCAATAAATGAATAAAATCCTTCTTTAAAAAAGTTAAAAAAAATAAAAAATAAATAAAAAATTAAAAATTAAAAAATGAAATCAACGGCAGGAAAAAATGCTCATGTAATGCAAGCACAGAGGTGCAAGCATCAACATACACAACCAATATAGGACTGTGCTGTACATTGTAGGATGTGTATCATCGTCTGTTGCCTCTACCCACTAGATGCCAAGAGCACTCCCTCTCCCCACCCTGTTGAGACCAAAAAATGTCTCCACACATTTCCCAATGCCCTCTAGGAGGCAAAATTGCTCCCCATTGAAAACCTCTGGGTTACAGGTAGCCAACAACCCTAGCTAATGAACGCTATGGCATGTTGATTTTGAAGCAAACTAAAACTGCATCAGCTCAATATATCATAGCATCCATTTGCCTGGGTCTTTGGCTACCTTTAACTTGAGGGTCTATTGGTGGTGCTTTTACTTCCTGCCCAGGGAACATTTAGCAATGTTGATTAAAAATGTAATTTTTGAAGTATAAAACTATCATAGGGTTAGATAGACGGATAGTTATAGCTGATGAGAGAATTGAGAAACTTGGGGGTAAATGTGGGGAAATTGCCTGAAACACAGCATGGAAGACAAATACATTGAAATTATGAAAGAGCACTTGAGAGGCCTTGAAAAAAGAGAGCATTTCAGTGAAATACAATGGACTGTGAAAAGCAGTATTTGAAATGAGGCTGAAATATTTTTTTTTAAGATTTTATTTATTTATTTATTTATTTGAGAGAGAGAGTGAAAGTGAGACTACTCAGGGTGAAGGACAGAGGAAGAAGCAGACTTCCCACTGAGCAGGAAATCCTCAGATTGAGAAGGTACATTGAGTCTTGAGTAGGATAAATAAAAACAGATTCACACCTATCAATTTTTCTACACTTAAGTGTAGAAACTTCAGATACAAGGAGAAATTCTTTATTTTTTAAAAAAATTTTATTTATTTGACAGAAACACAGCGAGGGAGGGAACACAAGCAGGGGGAGTGGGAGAGGGAGAAGCAGACTCCCCACTGAGCTGGGAGCCCAATGTGGGGCTCGATCGCAGGACCCTGGAACCATGACCTGAGCCGAAGGCAGATGCTTAACAACTGAGCCACCCAGGAGACCTTACAAGGAGAAATTCTTTTTTTTCTAATTTTTTTTTTTTTTAAGATTTTATTTATTTGACAGAGAGAGACACAGTGAGAGAGGGAACACAAGCAGGGGGAGTGCGAGAAGGAGAAGCAGGCTTCCCCGCCAAGCAGGGAGCCTGATGCAGGCTCGATCCCAGGACCCCAGGATCATGACCTGAGCTGAAGGCAGATGCCTAAGGACCCAGGCGCCCCAAGGAGAAATTCTTAAAGGAGACCAGAGAGAACACAGAAATGAAATGATGAAGGATGTACAATTAGGCCAATAAACGCCAGCCTTCTTGACAAAGAGAAAAACCAGTAAAAGTAATGCTTTCAAAGTGCTGAAAGAAAGTAATGGTCACCAGTAATTCTAGGTCTACTAACCTATCACTCAATAAGGACAAAATGAAGACATTTTCAGGTAAAGAACTTATAAAAGGAGGTATTTTCGGAAGAAAGTAATTGGACCCAGAATAAAGCACTTGGATCCAGAAGCAATGATAAACAAAGAAACTGGTAAGCTTATGGAAATATCTAAACCAGCATGGATTATAATTTTTAAATGTTGATATTATAGAGTTTACAGATGTAAGACAAGAGAGAATAATTAGGGCTAAAATTTTTTTTCCAAAGGTTTATTTATTTGAGAGAGAGTGAGGATAAGTGCTGTGGGGAGGGGCAGAGAGGAAGAGAATCTTGAGCAGAGACTCCACAATGAGCGCAGAGCCCAATGTGGGGCTGAGATCATGACCTGAGCCAAAACCGAGTGGGATGTTAACCGACTGTGCCACCCAGCTGCCCCAGGGCTAAACCTCTGTTTATTCTGAGTCATTGATTAACTTAAGATTTTAAGTGAGTATATATGCTAAAATTTTAATGGTAACCACTAAACAAATAAAAGAGGATGAAAAGAAATTAAAGGTACAAGGACTGGAAAGGAGAAAATAAAACTGTAATTTTGTGAGGCAACATGATTACGTAGAAAATCCCCGAAAAGACTACATAATCATGATTTCATGATTTCATTTATAGGAATTTTCTAGAAAAGGAACACTCAAGACAGAGGGCAGTGGTTCCCTGGTGCTAGGTGTGGGAGTGGGGTGTGGCCACAAGTGGGCACTAGGGAACATTTTGAGCTGACAGTCATGTTGTAAACCTGAATTGTGATTATGGTCCAACAATTACATAAGTTTACTAAAACTCTGCAAGTTGTATGCCTTAAATGAGCTAACTTTCTGGTATACTAATTATATCTCAACAAAGATGTTTAAAAATAAAACCCAATGGCATTCCTAAATGCCAGTGATATCTTTTTTAAAACAGTGATTTTAAAAAATGTATGCTATTTTCAGGGGTAGAAAGACCAACAGTGGTCCAAGGAGTAAATCTAAAAGAAGATGGGCAAGAGTTTCTTTGGGAAAAAAATAATGTTCTTTAAAGTCATGAAAGACAAGTTATTCAGTAGAGGCATAGACTATATTCTTGAATGATATGAGTCAGTGTTGTAAATCGACAGTTTTTGACCATGTCCAAACAAAACCCCACAAGAGTTTTGTGTTCATCTGGGGAGCATTGTTGCTGCGACAAAAGATTAAACAACAGTGACTTAAAACAATACAAGTGTCTTTCTTACTAGAGTTGTGTCCTCCAAGTTGTGACAGATCCTTCTTGTAGCTACGTGTCCTCAATAGGTAGATGGCAGGTTCTCTGGGCCTGTCTGCCTCTAGTGACCGGAGTATGGAGCATCCCTCATGGGGCCCTTCATAGGTTGGCCTGGAAGTGGTGTGCAGTATTTCCGCTCATTGAACAATGTGGCTGGGAAATTTAGTCCTGCTCTGTGTCCAGGAGGAAAGAAAAGTAGGCTAGGGAGAACACACAGCAGTGTCCGCTGTAGTTTTTCACAAAGCTTGATGTGCTGATGTTTCCAGGCTCTTTGTGAGCTGTGCAATATGGGCTTGTTTCTTCCTGGGATATTCATCCCAAGCCAGATTCGGAGCTCCTGGAATATAAAGTACTTCAGAAAAACATTCAGGTTCATTTTTATAGTTTGTGATAGAAAATGGAGATCATATTTTAATAGTAAAAAGGAAGACCCATTGTTAAATAAACTATATAGGTTTTTCTGTGACTTATCAAATCCTCAGACAACCAGTGCTGCACTGTACTGGCCAGAGTCTAATCTTTTTCCAGCTGGTGGGTACAAGAAGTGCAAAGGTTAGCAGAACCAACAGTGTGAAGCTTGGCATCTTCAACAACCACTAACAGTCTGACCTTGACTGGTAATGTAATGCAGTTCCTCAGTTTCTCCATCTGTGAAACTGGAATCGTCATTGTTTTGTCCTCATATATGATTGTTGTGGGACTAAAATAAATAATCCATGTAGATTCTTCAACATTTTTGGCATATATAAACACCCAACACATAATAGTTGTTCCTGCTGCCACTGCTACTTTGATTGTTACCGTAATTTATATCCCAGATCCCTATTGGAAGATATTTGGTTGCTTTTACTTGTTCTCTGTTGAACAATACTACCCAAACATCTTTTTATTCCCATCTTGGCTGACTCATAAATAACTTGCTTATTCACAGATTTTAGCCCATAGGTCAAACTTGGTTACTATAGAAGGCATGGATCAAAATACCTCTTTCTGTAATTTTTAAGAAAATATGTAAGTATAAACTGAAGACAGAGAAGTATTGGCTTGATTTTCAGAAAGATAAAGAAGCAATTCCTGAAATCTGGTGACTAATAAACTTGGATTCAGTAATCTACAAAAACACAAAAATATGTTACTAGGTATAAAATTTATGAACTCCTATGATGATGGTGATCTTGGGTGGCCAGCATGAATTTTCAAGGAACAATCTAGCTAATCTGATTTCCACTTTCCCTCATGTTAAGTGGGACTCAGATTGGCTTTGCAGACAGAATGGGCTGCAAGGTATTCTGGGACTTGAGTGGTCAAACCTCTGGGAGGAGGAAGAAAGTTGAGCCTTGGAAGAGCAAAGATTAGGAACTATAGGTGAGGCCAGAAAGGGTGGCTTCAGTAGGGCCAACATAGTTCTATGACATAACTCTTCACCCTACAAACCAGGCCTACAGCTGGACCAGAAAAGGAGCTCCAGGGAAGAAGCCTGGCAGGAAGCCCAGTCAATCCTATAGGGAGGTGTGATGAAGGCCATGAAATGGATGTCCATGGCTGCAAGAGTGATTTTAGAACCTACTGACTATTGACAGAAGCTGCCACTGTAAGTCTTCCCATATCGGGACTAGTTTCCCATTTAAGGGCCCTGTGCTATCTAATATGGTAGCCATTGGCCACATGTGACTACCAAACAGTTGAAGTGTGGCCAGAACAGAGATGTGTTGAAAG